AGTATGTCTAATATCGACCTTTTTTAGAAGTTAATATTAAGACTCTTACTGATTTCTAGGGAGGAGATTTATACCAAGGACTAAACCACCCAAATCTCACCTTCTGAAAAAGCTTTTCAAGACTCTGTTATTACATCCGTCCAAAATCCAGACCGCACCATGTCTGACATTTTCCCTGATACACTCAGGAAGAACAAGAAGTTCTTATGCTCAGGATTTCAAGCATGTGACTCCCTTTCTGTAGATCTGCCACACTGCAGACCTATTTTATATTTAAACCATCAGCTGCCGGAGTGCTCACACTGTTCCTCAAAGAGATCCTCAAAGATCCTCAAAAAACATCCTCAAAGAGATCTAGACATGGCAAATGTATACAAAGCAATCCTTAAACTATCTGTTTAAGGCTCTCCACAGGCTCTTTATCTGGTATCTCACAGAGATATCAGGCTCTCCACAGGGCCTTTATCCCAGCACCTCAGCACTGTCCGGGCCAACGTGACACACACAGCATGGGCTCTGCAGCACTGAAGCGAGCTTTCAGCTTCCTCCCTTTCCTGCCATGGTCAGGATATTGCCGGATATTGCCCCATCCTTAGTCTCTTTCTCCCCCATTCTGGCTGTTCTGAGGAAACACTCTTGCATGAGACATGTCCCCGAGCCTCCCTCAAGGTGGTCCACTGCTGGATTAGACCAGTGTCCTCTGGGAGCTCATTCCACAACCAGGAGTGTTTCATTTCCAGCTCTCACGTAAAATATGCATGTGCAATACATGCTGCTGAGCACGCAATAGGTTAAACAAATGGATGATAAAGTATTCTACTTAGTTATTTTTCATTACCATAAGAAAACATCAATTACATTTTCTATTTTATGAGTGTACACAAGGGAATCCATTACAATAACAGAGAGGTTATATGACTGTTTCTGCCGTGTCTTTTCCAAGCAAAAAGAAGAGTTAGGTTTTAAAGACAATGAAACCAGCCCAGAGAAAAGGAAGGCACACCAGCATATCTGCATAGACTGTTCCTATCCTGATTTATCCAGCCTGACTCCAACTAATTAAACATCTGCCTTAACAATTTCCTCTGCAGATTTATCTCCTCCAGTATGTAGAACTGACTGGTTGTAACAGGCTTTTCCCTAACTTCTGCCATTCCCATGTACTTCTTCCAGTTGGTTATTTGGGCATGTGGCAAGAGATAATTCCGTATTCCCATGAATCCCCTGCTGCTGCCTGTGGTGGGACAGGTCAACATAATACCTAACTAGAGCTAGGCACAATCAGAATATTGCTTCTTTTGTTTTCATGCTGCTTTTTATGAAGCAAAGGTTTTACCCCACTTCTGACTCCTTCTACTGACCTGTACCTTCCTGCAATGAACAATCTTTGGCTTGAAGTTAAATTACAGTCAAAAGCCTTCATTCAGCTCTAGCCTTTTCAACAAAAGGGATTGTGATATAAGGACACTGATATCTTTTACTGATGTAGTTCACACTACAGTTATGTGAATGCTCGTGCAAGGTCCTGAAACAGGACATGTGGAAACCTGGGCTCTGTGCAACCCTTCATTCAGAGAAACGTCCCGTGTCATTATCAGCCTTGTGCTCCAGGAGGTAGGCAAGGGTTGGTAGCTCAAGGACAGTAATGGCACTTCTAAACAGAAGTCAAAAATGGAAAAGCTGAGGTTTTTGGCTCACAGAGGTGACTGAGGAGTATGGACTCTGGGACCTGCAACCCAACTGCTTGTTGAAAACGTGCTTGTGAACTGCAGACTATTGGCTGGGTAAAATAAGTAGAGAAAACTGCTTCAGTATTTTAGCCCAAGTCATGCTGGAACATACCCTTCCTGACTATACGACAGCAGCTCTCCAATGTCCTCCTCACCCAAAATAGCCAATCAAGGTTTGCATTTTCCTACAAACACGGGACCAATTTGAAAAATGTCACGTAAGTCAGTGGTGAAAACAGGTCAGAAAGCAATTTCTTATACAAGTACCTGAAAACAGCATAAGCTGTAAATGTAATGAATTCATTTGCCCTGTGAAGACTGGTCTGGAGGCACACTGAAAACATGCAGGAAGGTTCACAGGCATTTCTGTTTTATTAAACTACTAAGAAAGCTTTAAATAAACACGTTAAGTCTATTTTTGGTTAGTTCTTTTTAAAAATCAGAACAATCAACTTAAAAGGAAGCACTGCTGAAAGACAAGAAACCCTTCTCCTAAATTATGTCTTATCTTTTATTCAGAACTTTGACATCCTAATCCACTGCTTAATAATGACTCAAACTCCAGTGGTGCAGGACTGTACTGTGCTAATAGTCTGATCTTAAATTCCATTTATCTGTGCATCTCCCAGTGAAAGTAAGAGGCACATCCGCTTCAAACATGAAGAATCTGGTGGTGAATGCAGAGTGATGCCCAAATCTTTTTCCACTCCTGCCCCAGCCTGTCCCTACCCACTGTGGTGGCATCCTGAGTTTTAACCATCCTTTAGCCCAGGCAGCATTTCCATCCACCCTGCTGACGGCAGCAGAAGGGGGCTGGGAAAGGCTGGATTTGGATCCAGAGGGAAGCACAAGCAAGAGGATCCCTCTGTGCAGACAGCTGCGATTTCTGCTGTTCTAAAGATGACAGGCAAGACCCTGCAACCCTCACCCCCCAAAAGTCTGCAATCTGATGAATCACAGTCTGGATAAGGGAAGTAATTGGGAATAAGGGGCGTTTTGCATAAGGGAAGATACTTTTAACTAAAAAAGTTCAATTTGTGATTTACTCATTTAATACATAAATACCTAAACTGAGAAGTCCCTTCACCCATGTGACAGTGTTACATGACAATTTCAATAAAGCATTATGAGTGCTCACCAACATTTAAACAACAACAGTAATAAAATATTTCATTTATGAAATTCAGTAATATGGGAATTTAAGCAGAAACCTTTCATTCTTCTTGCAGTGACTCCAATTCATGAAGCTTATAACTGCGGGTCCTAATTCTGGATGTAGCTGTACACAAGCTTATACTGAAATCTGAAAGCAACACCAGCTATTTCAAGAAATCCAGTTACATGTACAAGAGTAAATATACCTACAAGTAACCAAAATGTTTTTAGCTGTGACTTCTGCTGTGGTTATATTCACAGCAGGGATGACAGTCATAGCTCAAAGAGGTGAGATGTCACATGGATAATCTATGAAAGGTAAATCTGAAGCACGGAATCATAGAGTGGTTTGGAAGGGACCTTAAAGATCATCTAGTTCCAACCTCAAATGATTTCTTATTTAATTAAACCCCCCTAAGATGATATATACATGTTTATGTGCCCTGTTACTACAAAGGTTTCTGAGCAGGAGTCCAAAACAGTAGAAACAAATCAAGTATTAGCTGAAGCAGTAAATGACAGGTCCATTCCATTTCTAAACTACTGAGCAAAAGTAACAAAATAAAAGCAAAAACAAATGTCAAACGGACAAAGAGTAAAACATCCATTACACAAAGGAGGAAAGTAGTTTAAAGACTGAGCTAAGTGAATCTTTTAGCCACCTCCCTTCAGGGAAGGGAAATCTGACCCCAGGAAATAAATAAAAGTCACCCAAAAAAAGTGAACAAAAGAGGTGTTTGAAAAAACCAGAACACCATTCATCGCAGCTAACGACTTGTTCATTATGAGTGATGATGGATAAAGACTTCTCACGCTGAGATGAAATCAAGATTTATATGCATTGTTTCCTCTCCCAACTTGTGGGAAGATCATCATCATTTAATTCTATCTCTGCGGCCAGTGATGGGCATCCAGAGAGCTGGTTATCAAACGGCGCAGTCAGCTGGCAAAAGCCGAAACGTGCAGTTGGCACATCTGGACCGAGCCGCCACAGCCGAGGGTGAACAATGACTCCTGGCCAGTGGCCAAATTGCTGCAGACGCTGGCGGGTCTCATCCTTTTTTTTTCCCCCCCCCCCCCCCTCCTTCCCCCCCCCCTTTTTTTTTTACGAGAATCAGATTTTCATTGCTTCATTCAATTGCTCTCCTCTGCCATTTTTTACAGCTCTTATCGTTCCCTTGGAATATGGCCTTGAGACAGCTCATCCGTGTCCTTCACTGTGTTATCTCTTCTAACTTTTATTAAAACTTCAGCTCTCATCTGAAGATAGCTAATTAAATCCATGACAGATTATATACTCGTTTAAAAACTGCGCTGAGCTACTTTTTCGAAGGAGAACAGGGTTTATTTTCTTTTCCCATAGTTAAAACTAAGGGTATATAAGGAGGTTTCATTCATTTACAAAGACAAGATCCTTATCTTTTCCTAGTATATAGATAGGTTTATATTAAAGTTCCTTTGTTGCGTGACAAGACTCAGTGCAATTTCTCACAGTAATTATTTCTCGTTGCTGGAAAGATCCCTCAGCCTTATACTTTTGAAGTATATATATACTAACATATATGTGAATGCACATTTATACCCTGGAAAAGCATTGCTCTAAAATATAAATGCAAGCACAGTAAATTTCCTTTTTTAAAACGCTGGAAAGTCTTATCTATAATAATTTTGACAACATCACAGAAAGTAAATTTTTCTTTTTCTCTACAAGTAACGAGGAATCCTTTAAATTATTTAAAATCATACTAAGCATCATTTTCTTACATAAATTAAAAGCATACACAAATTCCATCACAGACTGGTCTTACTGTACTTCCACCCATCATCTCAAACTGCTGCTAGCTGGACTTGAATGCAAATGGCTTTGTTATCATAAATAAATATTTGCAGTAATGGATATACTGCTCTGCAGCAAACATTATGCAGCTCCTCCACTGTCTGCATTTTTCCAGCATCTAGAACACAAACCTGTGCACAGAACTGCTTCAGAGAGGTGCTGAAAATCGTAATACCCACTGAAAAAACCTGAGCATCTTTCACAACCATTAAAAAGAGATATAAAATATGCTCATGGAAAAACACCCTACCCTCTAGAAAATAGGATAAATAACCCACCTGAGCCTCTCTGTGATCCCTTCCTTCTCTTTAAGGCCTTTTGTAAGATATCCTTCATGGTGACCTTCATACTGTCCACCTGAATAAGTGAGAATCCATGAGCAGCATTTCTGCAAGACAGATGCACATGCATTTTTACAAAATCATCATCATCAGGCAGCTCACTGCAATTTTCATTAGTTTCAAGCAAAAGATTTGTTAGGCACAACAATTAACAAAGTTGTGCGATAAAAGTGAGTTAAAAGGAGAAACTAAGCAAAGTCCCTTAGAAAGGCAGAGGCAGAAGTGGAGAAAATGGATTGAGATTCAAGGTGTGTAAAGATTTTCATAATTTATCTTTATTTTTGATCACTTTGTGCTCATCATTAAAAAAGAAAAATGAGCAAATGCACCTGCAGAGCTCCTCAACTCCTCATTATTAAGTATCTGTTAGGCGTTCCTCAGTGCATACAAGAGAAACAGTTTGCAATGTCATTGTCATACAAGTCCCGATGGCAAACGTGACAAATCATTAAGAAGTGGAAGAACAACACTCAGAGAAATAACAGCTCTGCAGCACTATTAATGTACAGCATTACTGCAAACTAAGGAACGTGCTTTCTTTGGACATGTTTTTTGTGTACATCACAGAACAAAATATTGGCCATTGCCTGCAGGAAAGCGCACACCTTGGGGAAACACGGCCAGTGGCATGGGAATGGCTATGGATGATACCACCAGCCAAACACCAGAAGTGGCATCACTGGGGAAGCAGAGAAGGTGACAATATAATAGAAGAGACACTGGATTAATATATCAGTAAATTTTGCCCCTTAGACCTTGCAGTCAATCTCTGCTCAAGTCAGTAGATGTCACTGCAGACAGTTAGCACGGCAGTTTGAGAGCTGCTAGGCACCCACGGGGAGAGATTTGCACTGCATGGAAAAAACCTGGTTTGCAAAGCTATTTAGACAGGAGGAGGAGCTTTGTATCTGGCAACTAGGAATTTTAATCAGGGAGTAGAGCTCTGTATGAATATCACAGCTGGAATATTTTTTAAAAGTAACTGGCAGTCAAAAGCAATCCCAGCAACACAATAACATCATTAAAACCACGAGCATATTACATGTCACTTTAAGACACAAACACTGGGAATACAAGTTGGAGTTCAGCTGTGGCATCCCCAGCCCATGCTGTGACACAGCTTAGATGAATAAATGACATCTCCAAGCCCTCATCACACATTATCATGTCTCCAGCCCCCTGGCTGCAGGGCATACATGGTGACGAGTGAACTCCCTGCCTGGGCACATGCTGGCCACCACCTTGCTGTGCTGCAGATCACTTGTGCTGTTCTTATGGCTAGCAGAACCACAAGCACGCACTGTCTCGTTTTACCCTGCTCCCAGGGTAGAGTTACCTTATCTACCCCACTAAGCTTTCCAACTCAACATCATCTGCCCAGAGTGGCTCAAACAGGCAGAAGAGATGGTCAAGAAATCCACAGGGTGGTCATTCATGCATTACAAATGAAAAAGCCTGCCACGTTGTGAATAGTGCATCAGACAGGTCTGTTTTCAGAGCATCCCCAGCTCCTTGGGCAGCTCCCCCCCGGCTCCTCACCCCACAGCAGACAGTCCCACAAGCCACTAGTATAAAACAGCGTCTCCTTCTCATCAGTTGTGAGTCTCATCTGAATTTCATTCTCAATTTCCTTTGTTCTTGGCAAAATAAAACTGCCCAAAAGCCCCAAATTTATGTTCTCTAGACCATTTATTATTTATAACTCTATCTTACTCGTCTTCAAAGCAAATATTCCCAACCTTTTCATGCATCTACTTTTCCCCTCTCTATTTCTGCCATGTGGTTCATACAGAATGAGCAGAACTGAGCCCACTGCTCCACATGAGGGAGTACCATCCATGCCTGCAGTGGTGAGATTGCCAGTCTCGGAAAAGCCCAAGGATTCGGGGGGGTTGACTAATGCCATGTAGTGAGCAGAGACCTTCCTCAGCTCTTCAAACCTTCCCTTAAGCTGCCTTGGAGCTGGACAACGTGCATGAGCACCACACAACATCCTTCCATTGCCCAGCAGTTGCCTGGGCATTCACCTCGCGTCCCAAACTCACTACAGCACTAGCCCAAATTGACCTGCTGAAGAGTTTTTAAAGTGAAAAACCTCTTGAACAGCCATACTATAATTACAAAATGAAACTACCTTTGTGCTTTTATTTACATAACACGATGTTTGTCAATGAAGCTCTACAAGAAAAGCCTTACAGACATGACGCAACCATCAGAACACCCGTTCAAAAGACATTTGGTGCCTTAGAGTAATTTGTAAACTGCTCTGCAATACAGAAAGGTTTCCAGAGAACTGCAACCAAAATATAGGAAAATAAAATACAGGGCCTGTAGCTGACACCATGACCAGCCCCAGCTCTGACCATAGTCAGAACTGGTGGACTGACTACAGCTGACCCAGCTTGGGGCTGCTCCCACCAGTGTGTATCTGGAACCTCCCGAAAATGGAAAATTGTCTTTTGATTCCTGACACTTCAGCTGCTAAAAAGCACATGCTGCTGCTGATCCCGTTCATGTTGCAGGCCATCCCGACTTGGTCAATTCTTTCTATTGAGCAGCTGGCCTGAGAACTGTCAGACTAATTTTCCTGACACTCTATTACTAACTCATGCCTGAGCCTCGGCCATTCTTTGCCTCAGAAGCTGGATCTCATCCCAGAACAATCTTTAAAAGTTTACTTTACTGATCAAAGCAAAATAAGAAAAACCTCTGTGTTTTACTATATTTAGTGTGTTATCCAGTAAGTGAGACCTTGGCAAGAGCACTGAAATGTAAAGCGCACCCCGCATTCGTAAACTTTTGGATATTTGCTCTGGAGCAGAGCCAGAGGGTCTGAAATGCCTGTCTCAGTTCAGATGCATGATTCTCCCTTCCTCTGCTCTGGCTCACTGGGCATGCAGCCCTGGTTTTCTCCAACAATACACCACAGAACCTCAATAATGACATTTTAGCACTCAGTAAACCCACAAATCTGAGCCAAGGGTGGATTTAAGCCCAGACCAAAGGGATTCTGCTGTCACCCTGGGGTCAGGCCGAGGTGTCAGAGCCCATTTCCTGTGCTGCCGCGGAGGAGAAGCCCCACACCGTCTCCTATCAAACAGGCTGGGAGTCTTGCAGCCACCCTCCACACTGGATCACCTGAAACATCATCAATCTACCGTGACCCACCTTCATGTGGAAATAGCACAGTGAGGCTCCTGTGGAAGCAATACACCCTGCACCTCACCTAGCCAGCCTCCCAGCTACGCTCTGCGTCGGTAATGTGCATGAACTGTCCCCTCATTCCTTCATTACAGTTATGAATGGCATGTTTCCATTCCATTCCTTTATTACAATTAAGAATGGCATGTTTTCAGTTACCCTGCTAACGTGTGATACCTTTATTTTAAGTTAACACCCTAGGAAAGGAGAGAGACAAGCAGATGCTATTCAATCAATTAAAACTGCTGCTTACAGATTGGAAGCCAAAGAAATTCCTTAGCTTGTATTTTCTGTCATTTTGCAAAAACATACCTGGGTGACAAGGTTAAATCAAGCAAAGGAAATCCCTGGCACTTATCATCCACAGGCATTACTGATAAATTGTGCAGTGGAGGAATAAAGGATTACCTTCTGTATTTTTTCATTACACTTTTCTTTTGTTACAGAATACATAAATCCATTGTGGCACAATGTAATATGTATCATCGTGCTACCCCTGTGGACGTTTCATAACGGCTGCCATGTCTGTGCAGTCAGGAATGATAAGTGAACCACCCGTGAATGTTAATGATAGTGATCATTCTGCGGTAACTTGGCTTTCCATCTTCTTTTACAGCCTCAGCGCTGGAGCCAGGGTGGCAAGGTTCAGAAGAGGAAAAAGAAAACAACACAAGAGGCAAGAGCTTCGTCAGGCTGACACCGGGGTGTTGCCCTGGGGGGGGAATGTACTCATAGGCGGCATGGAAACAGCAGTGTCCTCTCCATGGGCTCTGTTTGCGTGACAAAATAAAACCCCAGTGCTGAAAGGACAAAAGGTTTCTGTTCTGACTCGAGAAACAAACTTTTCCAAAAGCTGCCTTTCCAATCTGGAGCAGGATTTTTTATTTTTTAACTTTTCTTAGCACTGAAATGGAATTTATAGCCCTTAAAGCTCGCTGCAAAAGATGCCTGGCATGGTTGAAAGTGCCTGTGGATGACTAATAACGATTTCCACTTGATCAGCACAAAGTCAAAGTTAAGACTAAAAATCCCAGTTGACGCAATGCACTTCACTTAAGCTGGGTAATTTCTAAGATAAAGTGCACGGTGATATTAACCATAGTAACTATGCCAGCCTCAATTTTTATCCCAAACGTAAATCTAAATGATCTTACTTTAGCGCATCTCAGGTTAGCCTTGATAACTTCCTGTTCTCTTGAGTTTAACTTGCTGTGTCTTGACATTGCTGGAGGCTATCATTAGACATCTAGAAGTCTACTTCCTGCTCTGACTCCTTTCTTTCTCCGACTCCTTTCTCCTGCCCTTCCTACCTTCTGAACCTTGGCACCTACACTATCCTTCTGAAATCTGCATTTCATAACTATTCTAAAATGTACTCTGCAGATTACCTACACCCATGTAATAACTGACAATGGGCCTTCTGGGGAGTGCTTCTGTAATCTAAGTAAAACACACGCTTCGAAGCTTTGAACTGAATTTGTAAATGTATGATGAAAGCCTGGTATTTTAAAACTGTTTCAACCTTAATCTACCAGGTATAGCAGAAGTGCTGCTTTGATACATATGTAACAGTCAAAGTAACATAAACACAATATCAAACCAGAAAAAAACAGAGCAGAGGAACTGTATGCCAAATTTCATCTGTGTGCCAACTGGCAGCTGAACTACAACTCCTAGAAACACCATTAGATCGGGTAAGTCAAGTTGCGATAATAAAATTTCCAAGGGAAAAAGCCCTAATAATAATATAGATTTATTTTAAACTACCTTGTTCAGAGTCTTTCAGGTCTTACCTCATCATCTCAAGGAGTCTGCACTTACATGAATGCATTGCTTTGTTTGACTCCTCCTGACAAATCCTTCTCAACATCAAAGAGGGCTGTTTGCGAGTGCCATGTTTGACATTGGACAAAGTACTGCTTTCCACAACAGACAGTTTCCAAAAACATAACTCGCTAGACTAATGGGCAGTTAGAAGCCAGAATGACTGCCCTCCGTCTTCTCCTTGTGTAACTTTGCCAGAGTCCTTGGAACTTGCCAAATTCGGTCATGCCTGCTTAGCTTGCTCGACTGATTGTGCCAGAAAAGAAAATAAGACACAGATGTATTTGAGCTCTTTGAGATGCCAGTAAGAGAGACAGCTAATGGCTTCATTTCGACCCTCCCCTACCAGCTGGGCACAGGTGGGGGGATAATGAGGTCCCTCTCCCTAATCAAACTCAATTATTTACTACTCTATATAGCCACAAAGACATTCACATTCAGCTCAGAATATAAAATACACTGTGGGCTACTTCTAACCACCGCCACTGGGTATTTATAACCAACTCAAGTGGCTAAGAGTTTGCCTTGGCAGGAGTTTAAGTGTATAAAGTTCTGCAAACTGTTTCTGCTCAAACATGTCCTGCTGAAGCGGGGTCCCTGGCAGGGTTCCATAACTGTCAGCTCGGTAGCTGCACAACATCGGAAAATATATCCAATATGCAGGATGGTGAGGTCTGAAATCAAACACCATGTTTCATCATGAAGCTTCTCAGAAGCATCAACCTTCTTCAACAGTGATTCAATATTAATAAACATTACAAGTCACAAGCCTGACACAGCAGCAGCTGAAATACTCCGGCATGAGGAGGAAAAAAAGAGATGCAAAATACAAAACCACAATTACATGCCCTGGTAGGGTGACAGGGAAGAAGATGTAGAATTTACAATGAATCCCTACAAAAATAGACACCATACACATTTGAACTCACACTAGTAACAGCTCCTTGATCAAGTGATAATCAAGTACTTCTTTATTCTAGGGGACTCAATAAAAATGCTAATTTAAAGCTAAATCTTTACAAATAACTATTTGCACAGGAAGTACAAGCAATTTCAAATTAACATGACACAGAGAAAAAAACAATACCTATCAGAAAAGCACTGCTTCTTATGATGCAGTTGTCCTATTTCTAATTGTCAGGACCTCCCGATTAGAAGGAAGGTCCTCACATGAGCACAAATTATGTTAAAGCAAAAGATTTCACATTTCTTTTGCAGGATTTGCAGCTGGACCTTAATCCTGCTACAAACACCCGTCAGAGAACTGCAGTGCAGGCCAGGATCCTGCTGAGGAGTCTGGGATAAACACAGGAACACCGATTCCACCTTCTCCAAAGCTGATGTCCAAAACCTGAGACCACATGTGTTCATTGCAGTTAAACAGTAATCTCTATGTACTGAGTAGAGACAATGGGGATGTAGGTAGGAGGCAGTTGAGAAAGAAAGGGGACCTTTTCCAGAAAGAAATCATCAATAATTTAGAATCTTCTAATGAACAGGCTTCTTAACTGGTCTACCTGCAGTAAACACTTGTGATCCTTTTTGATTGCATAGAATTAGAACAGAATTTTCTATATACCTGCTGGTATTTTTCTGGGGATACTGAAAATTCAGGATTATCTTGAAGATAAAACAATCATAGGATCATAGAATTAAAAAAATCAAATCCATGGCAAACTCAAATCCACTGACTCTACAGAAATGCATGCGGGTGAAGGAGATGTTCCCTCTTATAGACAAAACATGCAGCATTCTTTGGTTAGGTGGAAGGAACTAAATATTCTGCAATTCCACAGGCAAAAAAGCCCATTCCCCAGCTCAGCTGTGTGACTGGAACCTGCACAAACCAGAAGTGGACCTTGTGATACGACCGGCAGGATTGCTTCATTTCATAAGTAGTGTGGCTGGAGCAAAATGAAGATGATGAGCTCACACTTCATGTGCATTCCAAATATTTACTAGCAGGAGTGCAACAGTTCAATCTTCTCCACTAACCATATGCAGAAGGGCTTCTTTTCTTCTCTGCAGTTTCAGACTCGAAGGCTCACCCCAGTTGCTGCCACCAGCATTTACTTCTCTACCTGCCTCAAGACAGAGCCTAGACCAGGGCACTTGCCTGCAGAGAACCACAAATACATGTGGCCCCAAATTGTGCTAAGTTCACATAGAGAAAAGTAAAGAAGAAAAAGGACCCACTGCTGTTTCCCAGTGATGGAGAACGTTCGCACCCATACTCACATGCGCACAAAGAGCGACTGTTTGGCTGCCAGGCCGGGGGACGAGTACTTTTCAACCAGTGCCAGAGTGCTGAAGCCAAACTTGTGAATGGGTTCATTGGAATCCAAGGGTGGAAAATCTGTGTCAACCTCGCCATCGTCCTCAGCAATATGGAGACAGTAGGCATTGACGTTGTCGCTGAAACAAAGAGAAGACAAGTTTATTCAGGAGGGATGTTAGAAACCTAATTCAGTTCAGCCCAGCCATACCAGTACCATCCGTCCATGCTACAGATAACAAACCAGCAGACACGCCTGCTACAGGAACAATACACTGAAAAGCCACTGATGGCATGTACATAAACTTGTCCCAAACATACCTTGCTATCATAACCATGTGGT